ATAATTGATATGTACGACAATATTATTGTCAATAAAGGTATTTTGCAATAACAAATAACAACAAATATGACTACATGAACTACCGCAACATATTATCACAACACATGGTGATTATTTTTCTTTTTGAACTGTCGAGTTAATTTTATACTTTTAACATCTTAAAACAGTTGAATCATGTCAAGATCTGCAGAAGACCCTGTATGGCAACATGGGGTCAGACTTGATCCCAACAAAAAAAACAAAATTATTTGTAATTACTGTCAAAAAGTGATAAGTAGTGAGGTACACAGGTTCAAGCAACACTTAGCAGGGGTTAAGGGAGAAGTTTCTGCATGCACTAGTGTCCCTAATAATGTAAAAAAACAGATGGCGGCAATTCTTAATGCTAACAAAGGTAAAAAAATTGTCAAACATAGGATGAATGAGGAGATAGCTAGTTTATATACACCATCAAGCATGAATGATACAGAAGAGCAATATAATAATGACCTAGAAGAACATTATAATAATGAGCTGGACATGGCCACAAGATTGAGTTTACATGAATAATATCAGAGGGAACGTGGGTTTAGAATGCCTGGTGGGTCTAGCTCAGACATGCATGGTGGGCTTAGCTCAGATATGCATAGTGGGCCTAGTTCAGATATGCATGGCGGGCCCAGCTCGAGCATGTATGGCGGGCCCAGCTCGAGCATGTATGGCGGGCCCAGGTCAAATATGTATGGAGGGGTTGGTGGCCATATGTATAAAGGAGAATCAGTTGTTGAAGAAATTGCTTCTAGGTTACCTAAGAGTGCTAGTATTGCAGGTCATGGTCGTAAATACCCATTTCTCTCGAAGCCTAAGTCACAACAGATGACCCTAAATGGCATGGTTAAAGGTACAAGAAACATGTTAGGGAGATATGTTGGTAAATGGTTCTACGATAAAGGGATTCCCTTTGATGCAGTCAATAGCCCATATTTTCCACCTATGGTCAGTGCAATCCAGAGAGTCGGGCTTGGGGTAAAACCCTCGACGGCATATGAGCTCAGTGGGCCAATATTAGATGAAGAGGTGGAGGAAGTTAAAAAGTGGATTGAAGAATATAAACAGAGTTAGCCAAGGACGGGCATTACTCTCATGAGTGTGGTTAGTTGAATAAAGTTAGCAAAAAGGAGTTTTTAAACTTATTGGCCTATTCCCCAAAAGGTACAGCTTTTTTGTCTAGCAAAGACGTATCAGGGATGAAGAAGGATGCAAACTTCTACGTACGACTATATGATCAGATAGTGGAGGAGGTGGGAGATAAGCATGTAGTCCAGTTTATTACGGACAATGCGCGTGCATGTGTTTCTGCGGGCAGTAAGTTGATGGATAAGAGGAAGCATCTAGTATGGACCTCGTGTGCTGCATACAGCATCGATCTTATGTTAGAGGAGATCGGTGAGATCAAAATTGTGAAGGAGACTCTAAAGGAAGCAAGGTTGGTGTCGAGATTTATATACAACCACTCTAAAATTTTATTTCTGCTTAGAGAACACTCTAAGAAAAAAGAGATAATCAGGCCTGCCAAAACCCCGCTTTGCTACCGATTACTTAGCTGTGGACTCCATTCGAGAATCTGAAGTTGCATTAAAGAGATTGTTTACTTGTGAAGAGTGGTTAAATGACCGCCTCTTGAAGTCCAGTACCGGTATAAAAGTGGATAACATAGTCTCAAATAGGCAGTTCTGGTATCGATGTTCCAGTGTTGTAGAGGCCATTACCCCTTTGGTCACGGTGTTAAGAATGGTGGATGCTGACAAGAAAGCTACCATGGGTATCTTTTATGAAGGTATTGAGAAGGCGAAATTAGTTATTGGGAAGAAGTGTAATTTTGCTAGCAAAGTGATTGAGATTATAGAAAGGAGGTGGAACGCCAAATTTGGACGTCCAATTCATTATGCTGGTAAATATATATTTATATCATTACAATGTTTCAGTTTAAATCATTTTTTTATGAAATTGTAAATGATATTTTTCTACCTATATATTTTTTAGGTTACTACTTCAACCCAAAATTTTTCTATTTGACACCTGAACAACCCCACAAGATTATGGAAGGGGTCAGATACATTATTGCACGGTTGGAGAGAAGCTATCGAAACCAAGTAGCAGCAATACAAGAGGTATTATTTAATATTTGGGTAAGAACTTCATTGAGTTGTTATATTTGTGAGTAATAATGCACTAAAACGTAATATATTTGTTTTAGCTTGCTATGTATAGGGATGCTATAGGATCCTTCGGAACTAGACTTGCCAGAAATTCTCGAACTATGATGGATCCAGGTTATCCCCTCGTTAATATTTTGTTCATTCATATATTTAATCTTATGAATTGTTCTTGCCCTTACAATGCTTTTTGCATTTTAATCCAGCTGAATGGTGGGAGATATATGGTACTGATGCACCTCACCTAAAGGGGATAGCAATCAAGGTGCTCTCCCAGACATGTTCTGCTACTGGCTGTGAGCGCAACTGGAGTACGTTCCAATGGTTGCATACTACTAGGAGGAATCGACTCGCTTCTGAGAAGCTTCATAAACTAGTCTACGTTCATTATAATTTAAACCTCAGAGAGCGACAAATAAGAAAGAAGCTTGAAGACTATGGGCCGATAGACTTAGACACAATATTTGTCACAGACACAGCAGACCAATGGGTAGTAGAAGAGGAGGAGCCAGTGTTGCACAAGAGAGTGTTCCTTGAGGCTATCGGTGATGCAGATCTTGAAGAAAGTGATGAGCAGCATGAAAGAGGAAGCAGTCAGCCAACGTATCCACAATTCGTCGGAGATGTCGGTGATATTGCACCTAATGAGGGACAGTGGGAAGGGGGTCTAAGAGAAAATGAGAGAGATGATGATTCTGAGGCCACCTATCCCAGCCATATTATTCACATATCGAGTCCCAACAGTAACAGTGTAGGGAAGAGCACGACAGTGCAGGTGAGCATGAAGGATGGACAAGCTTCGAGGATTTTGGAAGGGGTCAGATACATTATTGCACGATTGGAGAGAAGCCATCGAAACCAAGTAGCAGCAATACAAGAGGTATTATTTAATGTTTGGGTAAGAACTTCATTGAGTTGTTATATTTGTGAGTAATAATGCACTAAAACGTAATATATTTGTTTTAGCTTGCTATGTATAGGGATGCTATAGGATCCTTCGGAACTAGACTTGCCAGAAATTCTCGAACTATGATGGATCTAGGTTATCCCCTCTCTAATATTTTGTTCATTCATATATTTAATTTTATGAATTGTTCTTGCCCTTACAATGCTTTTTGCATTTTAATCCAGCTGAATGGTGGGAGATATATGGTACTGATGCACCTCACCTAAAGAGGATAGCAATCAAGGTGCTCTCCCAGACATGTTCTGCTACTGGGCGTGAGCGCAACTGGAGTACGTTCCAATGGTTGCACACTACTAGGAGGAATCGACTCGCTTCTGAGAAGCTTCATAAACTAGTCTACGTTCATTATAATTTAAACCTCAGAGAGCAACAAATAAGAAAGAAGCTTGAAGACTATGGGCCGATAGACTGAGACACAATATTTGTCACAGACACAGCAGACCAATGGGTAGTAGAAGAGGAGGAGCCAGTGTTGCACAAGAGAGCGTTCCTTGAAACTATCGGTGATGAAGATCTTGAAGAAAGTGATGAGCAGCATGAAAGAGGAAGCAGTCAGCCAACGTATCCACAATTCGTCGGAGATGTCGGTGATATTGCACCTAATGAGGGACAGTGGGAAGGGGGTCTAAGAGAAAATGAGAGAGATGATGATTCTGAGGCCACCTATCCCAGCCATATTATTCACCTATCGAGTCCCAACAGTAACAGTGTAGGGAAGAGCACGACAGTGCAGGTGAGCATGAAGGATGGACAAGCTTCGAGGATTTTGGATTGGGAACACAACAAAACACTAACACTCAGGGATTTGGGAATAGTAAGACGCCTGCTAATATCGATGATTCGTTTTTAGATCGAATCAATTAATTGTCAAACGAATTCAATCAATGGCACCACCGTGATCAAGAAGAAGAACAACGTCGTCTATCATTTTATTTTTAGATCGTATGTTACTAATTTTATGCTTTATTGTAGTCCATGTATGTTGATATACTTATTCAATGATAATTCAATGTTTATCCTTTTGTGTGATGTAAATTAAATGCTGAATGGCGGTTCATGCAGGGATAGAACATATCAATATTCACATATTCATTCAAAAACATGAAAATTCTTAATGGAGTACCCTCATTTCTTATTGAATTCTTAAAAAACAATATTTATAATGAATTTTAATAATCTTTTTGGATTTTTTTGAAGCTTTATTCTGACAGATTCACCCGATTCCCGATCCGGATCGCCGATTCGTCGATCCAGATCAATTTTTTGGGTGCCCGATCCGGGTCACCGATCGTTTTTTAAACCATTGGAAAAAAGTAATGATTTCTTCACAAAACAAACCGAACCCTTGTCTCATAAATCCAGCTATTGGGTCTCTTGCCCTATTGAGTGGTACTGGTAACTCTTTAGGCTGCTAGTAGTTAATGGTGCTCTCTCTCTCTCTCTCTCTTCAAAGTACCGATTTCTTCAGAATGGGGAAGAAAAATAAAAATTTCTGATGTAATTTCCTTCCCGTAACTGCCATTTATAATATGCTGAACCTTTGTCAAAAAAACAAAGAAAAAGAAAAATTTCACCAAGAAGAGGGAGACATCCAAAATCAACATCATCCATGGATCAACTTCATGCAATTGTTACAAGTAGCAGGAACTATACATATTTCAACTCCCCAAGACATAAGAAATTAAAACAAAAAGCATGAGAATACTTTTCCAGGCTATTTGTTTCTTTGAATAACTTTTTGAAGAGAGAGACGTAGCTCTGAACCCTTATCTCAAATTGATAGCTCCAATACCGAAAGGCATTGCACCAGTCCTGAAGTACAGATTACCCCTGACTTCGTCCCATCCCATGCTCATATGTGTGTGTGCTAGAGAGAGAGAGAGAGAGCCCAATTTCTCTCTCCTCACTCAGTCATTAGCAGTAGCAAGCTGTAGAGAGAGAAGCTCCTCTTCAGGTATGGTCTTTATGTGGCAGTCGGACTTCGGATACGATACACACAACAAAGCGTAGCCCTCAGCCACCACATCCTCGCTCAACATGCCCTCACTCTGGTCCACTACACCACTCATGAGCCTGGCAGGGCAGGTCATGCAGACGCCGAGCTTGCAGTCGTGGGGCACGTCAATCCCCTCGTCGAGAGCCCGTTCGAGGATTGTCTCGCCCTCGCCCACCTCCAGAACCTCGCTCTGCGCCCCGTGCTCGATGCGGACGCTGTATCTGAGAGGACCAATGGCTCTGAATTGGTGTTTGAGCTGAGGTGGTGGTGGTGGTGGTGGTGGTGGTGGTATGGTGGGGAGGAGAGAGAAAGAGAGGTGGTGGTGGGGAGGAGTGAAAAAGAGGGGAGTAGTAGTGGAGTGCAAAGAGAGATGGGGCAGCATTGTTGAGGAAGGAAGGAGAGAAGTGGAGGAGGGGTTTGGATTTGGGTTTGGGTTTGGGTTTGGGTTTGTGTTTTTATTTTTGGATGCTTTGGTTTTTGTGTGGTGGGGAAATGGGATAAGGTTTCTGGAGCCATGGGTGGGGTAACACCCCCCTTTTGTCTACAGAGATTTGGGAATGGGCAAAATGGGTAAGAATTTAACATTTTGGATGAAAAAGGAGGGAAGTTGTCTGCTAATTTAAATCACTTTTTGTACACATCTCTATCATGAAGGAGAATTTATAATTAAAAAAATTCAACTTTCTTTTAGCGAAAAAAAGGGCACACTTCCAAATTTCTGATCCTGAATTTTCATCAACTTAGGCAGTAAATTAACAATAAGTACCCTCAATTTTAAAGGTTCCCATAATAAAGGCAATTTCAAACTTGTATGGGGACAATCTAATTTTTTTACCTACACTTTTAAAAGGTACTTTTGAGAAATAAAACTTAAATCGAAACCTTTTTTTTTTTCATATTGAATAAGCTGATTGGACACCTTCAGTGATTTTATAAGACCATTTAATGAATGTTTTTTTTTAACCTAACTAATAATGGCCAACTGTTTGATTATAATCGGGTGAAGTATACACGAGGCGCCAACTTTATGTTGTTTGATTATAATCGGGTGAAGTATATAGGACGTGCCAACTTTATACTATAGAAGTAAAACTCACCTCTACTCGAGAAAGAGTAGACCATGTGGGGCACAAAAGTAAAGACCTTTATTCAAGTTGAGAAAGAGTACGACTTATATCCAATACAGTATTAATTAAGAGGTGCATATTAGTTCAAGTGGAAGACTAAAAAAAAACACGAAATAGTCTCATAAGGACATGATTATAACTAGTGAGAAATGACAAAGAGACTTAAGGCCTCACTGAAAGTATGACCATTAATAGAACAGAATAATAAATCATAATTTGTGTAGCCAATCTCAATTAATTAGAAAAAAAAACTTTGACGATAATGAAATAAAACACACCTCTACATTTTCCTTGGATATATAGCTACGTTTTTAACAACATTATAACAATTTAAAAACCTATTTTCATTTATAGTAATGGAATTTCAAATTCAAAATATGATACAAATCAAACGACTCAATAAACATTTGAAAATCTTAGAAATAAACAATCCAGATAATTCATTACAAAATGCATTATTTTTAAAACTTTTTTTTCTCCTTTCATATACATAAATCTTGAGGTCGAGATAATCAATTTGAGAATTTTCTAATGCCAAAATACTCTTCTAGAGGATTTTTGAATTGCGCATTACTTCAATAGTATATAAACTCTTTCCATTATAAATTAGGTATTTCAATTAAAAAACCGTATTAGGGCGGGGTTACTTAAAAGAGAATCCAGCCCGATATCATCGCGACACAACATAACACATGCCATCCCACATTATACAGGAGGCCAACAGTAACGGAGTAACTCATGAGACTCTGAAAATTGATAACCAACCAACAAAATTGCTTTAGCCTCTCCAAAATTTGTGTGCTCCAGTGGAGTAAATGTACATTTACTCCAATGATCAAACCCTTACTTGGGGAATTTGTTGGACCTTAAGTTTTAGGGTCTATTTTGATGTACTCGTTATCATATAATGTAAATTATTCTTGATAATGAATTATTTGTTGTTTGGTATGAGCCGTAATTTTATTATTTGAGTTTATCTTTATGATACTTTATTCAAAGTAATTTGTAGAATGTCAAATTTTTCTACTAAAAATACCTTAAAAACGTAAAAAAATTTTAATAATTAAATAATACTATCCATAACACAAGCTAGGTACTAAATATTTAACAAACAATATTATATCAATTTTAAACAAGATAGTCTATTCCAAATACCATCCATTGTCATCCAACCATGCCCTCATAAATTATCATAACGAAAGTTTTTTAAAGAAAAAAGTTTATATAGAGTTGCAATCTCAAAATGTATCCATCAGAAAAAGTTATTTTAATATTGAAACACCTTTTATCATCTCAATCGATTGTAATCCAAACATGCCCTCATAGATTACCATAATAAGAGTTTTTTAAAAGAAAAAGTTTATATAAGGTTGCAACCTTAAAATTTAGAATTAAAGATGCACCTAAAAAATCCATCGGAAAATGTTGTTTTAATATTGAAAAACCCTTTTATTTATCATCTCGACATCGAGATGTATGAATATGAAAAAAAAAAAACAGATTTTCAGTCCCATAAATAGTGCATCTTGCAACACATTATCTAGATCGTTCATTTTCAAGATTTCCATATGTTTATAGATCTACTTGATTTTAACCATTTTTGGAGTTTAAAAATTTACAATTAGATATGAAAATAGATTTTGAGATAATCCTAATAATTTTTTACACCAAAATTACATGTTATGATAAAGTTTGGAGGTACGCGTTAATTGGATTGTTTAAGGTTGCAACCTTATAGAAACCACACTCTAGAATAAGGAGTAGTTTTACAAATTTTATTTATTTTTAATATTCAAAATTGAGCTTTATCCCATATATATATATATATATATATATATATATATATGCGTAAAGTTTATATAGAGCCGAGGCTCTAAACAATTAAATGAGAACCTACCCCAAAAATTTTATTAGAAGAGGTTGTTTTGATGCCCAAATATCCTCAAATTGATCTTCTTGACATTAAGATGCATGGACATGAGAAAAAAATAGATTTCAAGTTTTGTAAATAGTATATTTTGTAACGTGTTTTTGGACCGTCAATTTTCAAGATTTGCATAGATCTGTTGATCGACATTGTTTTTTAAGCTTTAAACTTTATAAATAAATTTGAAAATATATTTTAAGGCATTTTCAGTATTGAAATCACATTTCTCGACACTATTTGAAGGTAGGCTCTAATTTGATTGTTTAGGGCCTAAGCTCTATACAAACTGCACCCCAGTAAAGATTAAATAAAAATATTTTTTAATCGCCATATATTTTTAAGGACCCGTTTCTATGCGGCCAAACCTGCATACGTAGAAATACGGGCCTATTAATACATCTACATTGTTTTTAAAGCTTTAAACTTTATAATTAAATTTGAAAATATATTTTAAGACTATCACAGTGGTTTTCAATATTGAAACCACATGTCTCGATACTATTTGAAGGTAGGTTCTAGTTTGATCGTTTAGGGCCTAGGCTCTATACAAACTGCACACCAATAGAGATAAAATAAAAACATATTTTAATCGCCATATATTTTTAAGGACCAGGTTTCTATACGGCCAAGCCTACGTATGTAAAAATACGGGCCTATTAATAAATCTATTTTTGAGATGGATTTTTTGACTTAACTTTTAAATTCATGTAATCTTTAACCTGGAGATCATGAATATGAAAAATAAATAAATTTTAAAAACTCGAAATAAAATTTCTAGTAAAAAAACATTTGTACCGTCAGTTTGTATTGTTTTTAGATGGAACACCTACTTGCATCCATCTTTAAGATGGATGCTTTACACTTTTTCGACCGTATATATAATCATACAGTCCATCCCGCATGAAACAATTATTATTAAAGATGGATGTTTTATACTTTTTCGACCGCATATATAGTGATGTAGTCCAGCCCGCATGAATGATCATTACGATCGCATGATACCCTCCCACACCCATGTATGTAAGAACCCAGACGAGCAAACCCTCTCTCTTTCTCTCTCTATTTTTATATGTACCCACAAACTAGGCCCCAACCGACTTAATAACTAAAGATTTCAAGAGGCTGCTTAGATAAACCCTAAAAATAAATCTCCACCAAACTTGTTCCATGGAAAGGGTAAGAATTTCCTACATGCACTTGGAATTTTTGTTTTGGAAAATTTCGAATACTCAAAACGACAATTCATAAATAAATCTGAGCCAAACACCAAAAACCAAAGAGATAGTATATATTAGTTGTTCATTCATAGCACAATACACCATTATCAACATGTCAATCCATACATACATAAACCTAAGAGATTAAATTAGAGTGCAATAACTTAACCAAAGGTGTCTCATTAGCCTCTCTCACCATGATATGCTGGAAAGAAACTACACACAAACTATACAGGCACTCTCTCTACATTATCACAACCACAAACCACATTGTCAAATCTCATCAGCCCCTACCTAAAGAAACAGTCGTAAACCAAGGTCAGCTTCAGTAGAAACTCTCTTACCTTTTCTTTTAGTTCCATGTTCCTCTCTCTAAAGAAAATGCAATGGAAGATGATGAAGCTGGCTTCACAACCCGACCCACTTACCGGAAATATGAGGCCTGATACATGCCATAGTTCGCATAGCCTCCATAGTTTTCAGGCAGGCCATAAGAACCTCCAGCAAGTGGAGCTGCATTTTCCGGGGGGTACCCATAAGCATCAACAAGAGAAGTTGGGCTCCTATTTCCTCCCATATAAGCTTGGCCATAGTTATATGGTGGTGGGGGTGCTGGAAATTGGGGACTTTGGCCAGAATTAGGAGAACGAACAAAGACACGTCTTGCTGGAAAATGGGAGTTAGCAAGCCTTCCAGCCTTAGCTGGAGGGAGAGCAGCTCCATTGCCCACTCTCCCTCTCTTGTTTTGTTGTTGAGAAGATGCAGCTGCCTTTTTGCGCTCGGCTTTCAATTTGTCGATTTGAGCAAGCCTCTTTTGGAGGGGCTCGAGGGGTAGGTTGCTCTCAAGCTTGTGCTCTTCGACACACTTGATAACGGCTCGGAGGGCTGCATGCTCCTTGATACCGGCTTCATGCTGCCAAAATTGAAGTTTTGGTATTTAGACCAACTTTGTGCGGAACTTTGGGTGTTGAAAAATGTTTTTTCTACACCTTAAGGAATACATATTTGTTTCCTTAGTTGAAACATGTCAATTATGTATTCAAGAAAGGACATTTACTCATTTTCCAAAATGATTAACAATATCATATCTCTTTTAAGGGAAGTACACTTTTGTCCAAAGAGAAGGAAAACCATAGCCCATTGGGTTCATGATCATTTGAAGAAATGATGCATGGTTATGTGATGTCAAGGAAGTTAAACCCATGATAACAGGGCATGAGCTCAATGGTGTATTTCATTCTCTCCCCATCACCGTGTATAATTTCTCTTGAACCTGAAAGGAGTAAGCTTTTCCCCCTTTTTTCTCTATAGATTCCCAACGGAGTGGAGTTTTCCATATCACTTGGACCATAGCATACTTTCCTTTTTCCATTAGTCATGCTAATGCAATAAGAGAAACAATTCTAGTTGGGAAACTACACAAACAAGTCTCACTTCATTTATATTTTGAATTTCACAAACAATTTTCATTTCTGGATGGCAAAACCTAAATTCATCATTTCCAGGGATCATTCTTCTCAGCAAGGCTAGAAACAAGAACTAGAACTAAATGAAAGGAGTAAGTAAGAACAACATATAAATAGACGAGACAAACCATAGCGCGGGTGGAGTTATTTCCATCCTTAAGAATCGAAGCAACAACTTCCCTAGAGTTCCTCAAGTATGCCTCAAGCAAGGGTACAGGGGGGTATTTCTCAATAAGTCCGGACTCCACAATAAAGTGCACAGCATCGACCTGCTTTCCCTTGTTAACCAACTCTTCAATGATATCTACAAGCAAAAGGGATAAACAATGGATCAAGCTAGAGCAAAATCTTGTCCAAGAACACATGGCTCAAATCTGATCTTTTACTGTTCTTTCATTCTTTTCTTTATCGGTAGCTCAAATCTGTTCTTAGCTAGCTAAATAACAGATAATTGATAAGTATCTTTTTTCTTTTTTTGCAAAATTAGAAAATCACAGCCATACAATGTCCTTGATCATCTAGTTGACTCACCCAACAAAAGGTAGGTTCTCTGCCCAACAATCACATAGGCCTCCCTCGGTATCATCAGTTACCAGTAACGGAACAACATTTTGAGAACTTTTAGGGAAAATATTACTCCTGATAAGGATACCCTGACAAACATTCTACTGGAGTTAATATTTCAACATTTCAAGCTCTAGGGGAAGAAATAACTCATATTGAGGCTACCCTGAAATACATTATGTTGCCCTTTATATCAACATTTCAATATCTTGCATAAAAAACATACATGGAAAAAACACGTGGAAAAAACACGAATGATAACAAAGACAGTTCTTCTGGGAGGGTCGCAATTAGGGTTCATCTGTATCCATTAAGTCGAATAGGAGAACCTATACGAGGCCAAGAAGTAAGAGACCGTGGAATACAGAGCTTCACCATGATTGATTGGATAGACTGTGAGAAGTATCAGAGGATTTGGAAGAAGGCCATAAGGGAAAATCATATACAGTTTATCTTAGGTTGAAAGTTGAGAACATTGAGCAGGTTGTGCAGAGCCTCTGGAGCTTGACTTCAACAAAGGAACTATGTTCAAAGTTTGTAATGCAGTAGGCTGGCTTCATGGACTCATGAAAGATATTTGGCGGGGCAAATATACTCGTCAGTTTACTTTTTGTGTCATAATCACAGGAATATTCAATAACAGAACCTTGTGATTGCATGCTTGGGTTTAACTTTTGGTGTGAGAGAAAGGCAGGGAAAGCACGGGGGCATGGGGGTTGGTGCTACAATTTGTAGTGGCAGTGCTTTTGGAGATCTCATGAATGATAATGTCCATGAGTAAGACGGTCTTCTGACTAGGCAAGAAGAGATCCTCATCCCATCAATAGGGAATGGAATAACATCCCAGACCATCTCTTTATACACTCTGAGCACACAAGGAAGATATGGAATGGAATACAATCCCAGACCTTTTTGGAGGTCTATGGGTCACACATGCATTTTTGGAACTTGAGTGAAGGATCATCTGAGCCAATAATTGAAAGGGGGACAGTCCCGTGGAACATATGTCTACACTTCTGCATAATGAAGAGAGAGGTACCACAATGCATATAAGAGGTACAGGAGGAATCTAGAAGATACATAGTCACCTCTCCAAGTTTCATGCATCACTGATATGACCATAGTTGTCCCGAGATTATAAGTACCCTTTTTAATGTCCTAGAGTGTTCTCATCAAAACGATTAAGATATTCCAAATCTTTTATATTTTATTTTGACATCTTTGGTAGCACAGCAGTAGTAGGAATGTATAGCATTGCAATAGTCAACACCCTAATAAATCAAGTCCATGCCCAAATCCTAGGTGAACATAACAATTCATTTTGCTATGATTATGAAGCAATAGATTAAAGCACAATGTCCTAATAATTAACAGAAGTAATTCATATGATGTATTTACCTAAATGAATGGAACAATTACTATCCATATTTCTTATGCTAGCACCAAAGCTTCTTTTGCCCCCTCATACATTTTAAACATGTGCAACGGGAGTTTTATGTGATCATCACATACCAATGAAGCTGAAAGGAAAGTTATATAGGACAGAAATGCGACCAGCTTTGCTTTTATGGGCCAGAATGTTTGGCGGTCAAGAAGCACAATATCCATAGGATGAGTGTAGCAGAGATGAGGATGTTGAGATGGATGAGTGGCAAGACAGGAAGTGATAGAATTCAAAATGAATACATTCAGAAGAACTAAGGTGTGGCACAACTAGGCGATAAGATGAAAGAAAGTAGAGTCAGGTGGGTTGGCAATGTGCAGTGCAAACCCAATACAACACCTGTTAGGAAGTGCGAATTAATTCAAGCGGACGACTAAGAAACGGCAAAAGGTAGGTCCAAAAGGACATGATTAGAAGTAGTGAAAAGAGATATCAGACTTATGGCCTCGCTGAGGGTATGGCACTTGAAAGACTAGAATGACAGACCAAAATTCGTGCAGCCGACCCCAATTAGTTGGGAAAAGGCTCCAATGATGATGATGATGATGGCATTTCAAACATTACTTTGAACTTAACAACAATTCTTTAACACCTGCTCATTATCATCATCGTTGTTCTTGAATACCCAGCTTTACATTCCATTGTAATCCTTTTAACTTTTTCACATAATGTTCCACAACCACACAACATTCTTTATATATTTTGCACAGTCAATAATTGATTTGAAAAATTATATGAACTAGGAAATCCACAATAGCAAGTTCAGAACTTGTCTTATATTTCTAGGATGCTTCCAAAAACGAGTCAGCCCATGCACAACGATATAAAACTATATAAATAAACAAGTCCACTCCTTTGTGTTATATTACCATAACAACATATGATGTAAAATAGAGACGAGAAAGAACTAGCATTGCAAAGTTGCAAGGGGCACAATTAAATTATTTTGAAGTTCCTAACTTTCAAAAAAAAAAATATTTTTGAAGTTCTAACACATCACACATCAGAAGTCATCAGGAGTACGTTGCTGGGGATTGAGGAATTGTGTGAAAGTAACAAACTTTGGACACATTCAAGTAATTCTTTACTTCCTTTTGGCAGGATTAAGTCAAACCAGGATTTTTAGTTCATTTAAAATCATGTAATCTTGTTGCCAATGACATGTTACTAAATCTCGACGACAAACATTCCTAAAATGGGTGCAACACCTGAGACTCTACTAATTGCGCCACAAAAATAATAAATATATGAAACTTCCTCAACTCCCATTAGAAGCCCCAAGTTCAGCCAAAATCTAGCATTTTTCAAATATGACCCACAATTTAGCGGAATTCTGCACAATTCACTCAAATTTCAGTCCAAATTTATGAGAATTGGCAGACAAATGACCATACAAAATACTGGCTGCGTACCACCAAACTCTGAGAGGAATTTCAAAACGTGGTAATTCCTTTTTCTTGTCAGTTATTTCTCCCTGCAGAGCAGCCAAAATTTGGCTGAAATTACAAGAACCAAATGAAGACTATGATTTTATCTGCCTAATGAAATCAGAACAAACCCAAATCCAAAGTTGCATGGACCATCATTAACTGTTTCTCCGGAATCTTTATATTTTTCCCTAAGTTCCAAAAATCTTCCAAGGTTCCAACTAGTGCCATAAAAGATAAAAACGCTAGTTACCAAATTTGTGCATGTTTAATCTATGAATGCTAATATTATTGTCGGAAAAAAATAAATAAAGAATAGAAAAAGAAAACCCACTTACCAGGCATCCTGTCCTTCAACCCCAGCAAAACCGCAAGCTTTGGCATCTGCTTCCTCCACGCAAAAGCCACTAATAAATCCCTGAGAAACCCACTATCAAACCCTGAAGTGATCCCAAATGTAACCAAGTGTTGCAGGAAAGTGTGAACCTCAGGTGACTTGACATTATCAACCCCTCCATTTGAATCTAACTTCTCCTTCCACTCTTTAGCCATCCCCTTTGCCTTGTCCCTAACCTTCGGGGTCACAACTGGCCTGGTTGGCCCTACAATTGGATCTGCTAAAATAGGCACAAGTAATTCTAGTAAGAGAATACATGCCCATCGTTGATCATGCTCTCTATCTGAAGGCCTTCGATCAACTGGAAACACCCCTTCAATTGCTCGCAAAACCAGAGTAGATGGATCGATGCAGTCGAGTAAAGCATTTGACAAATGGGTTCGAACCAGTTCTATATCCTTCTTCTTTCCAACGATAAAATCCCATAATCCCTTTGAATCCATTTTCTGGCAAAAGCCCCTCAGCTTCGACTCGATTGCTCTGTCATTTGAATCGGAGTTCGAATTGGGGTTTCCTTCCTCTGCAACTTTCTCGGCAGCCAAAAGCGCCGCCTCCTTCTGTTGCTGAAGCTTGGTAACGGCTGACTCTTCAAGGTAATTAATGGATTGCTCTCGCTGCTCCAGGATTTCTAGGGTTTTCTGGGTTTGCTGGTCTAGTGTTTGGGACTTGGTATCTAGGGTTTGTGATTTCTCCTGTAAGTGTTGCTCTAACGATGAGAAATGGTGAGAAAGGTCCTTCCATAGAAGAGTACAGTTTGTAATTAGGGTTCTCTGCTTGTCAAGGTCCTGAAAAGCGAGTTGCAGAGTATCAGTCGCCATTGTAGCTGAAACCCTAGAACTGAACCGACTGTGATTAGAAGGAAATCAAAACCTACTTTTGTTATGCGATCAGCAACGAATGGAACCCTAAAATGAACGGTAGTAAGAGAATGGAAGTAGCCAGACTGGAATCAAACGCTAGAATTGAAGAGCAGTAAGAGAGTGTAACCCTAGTTAGATATGGGTTGTGATGAGAGAGAAAAGAAGCCCTAAGTTGGCATGGTTAAGAGAGAGAGGAAAATAGAACCCAAGGTTTGGATCACAGTGAGAGAGAGAGAGAGAGAAAGAGAAAGCGGAAAAGGCTGCGCAGATATATTTATAGTGGGTTCAGCAGCTTTGATAAAGCGAGGAGACAAAATAACCGTGCAAATGTTCCGTTCCATTCAATGCGCAGGATCCGTCCATCCAACTTTTCTTTCTTCACTCACTTTCTCTCTCCTCTACCTTCTCTCTCGCTCTTCGGTCTTTCCCTCTCTTTGGTCCCATTCTCACTTCTTTCTCTTTCCTCGTCTCATCTCCTCTTTCTCTCTCTTCGGTCTCTTTCTCTCACCCCTCTCATCCGTACGAGCGGTTTCCTGAGGTTTTTCAGGGAAAATTGATAAAAAAAAAAAGAACCTCCAAAATATATTGTACCCGTCCAAAGCTTTTCTTTCACTTTTTCACCCCTAGAAACTTCATCGACAAAAACCCCTAAAACTAACAAAAAAAAATTAAACAATAATGACTTTTTTATACAAAAATATAAATTTGACAAGATATGACGTCTCACAAGTTCTACTGCCCGAGCTTTCTTAGCCTTTTGTTACTGTCGGAGCGTGTCTCATAAGTTCCGGGGTGCCTTTTACAACTGTCGGAGCTCTGCTGCCAAAGCGCCTTTTGCAACAGTCGGAGTGCCTTTTGCTACTACCGGAGCCAGAACGCCCCTTTGCAATCAGAGCGCCCCTTTGCAGTCAGAGCGCCCCTTTGCAGTCAGAGTGCTTTTTGCTACTATCGGAGCCAGAACGTCCTTTGCAACTGCCGGAGCGCCCTTTGCTACTATCGAAGCTGTTGTGTCTCACAGGTTCTACGGCCAGAGAGAGAGAGAGGCGTATTTGCATATAAAGTTTGTTGTAAAGAAAAAACTTGGATAAAAAGTTAGGTTGGGGTAAGTTGCATAGAATAGTGTAGTATTGGGTTTTTTTTTTGTAATTTTCCTTTTTTTTTTCAATATATAATCTATTAAAAAACCGAGCAAAGGCCTGCCATCCCCCACTGAATTACCCAAACAAAAATAATCCAAAAAAAACCATTGACGTACAAAATGAAAAGTTTTTAAAATCCAAACAAAATGACAGAAGTGCATCAAATTTAGTATAAATGTTTTTCAAATTAGTAACTTCACTCCTCAAAAATCTTTTAAAATTATAGTTCTGACATTATAAAACCTTCAAAACAATCAATGACTATTATGGTTGAGATAAAATTTCCATGTGAAATCCTAAAAATAGTGTATATTGTACTGCATTATTTAGACCATCTATTTTAAAGTGTTCACAGATCCACAAGATTTGTATATTTTTTGAACCGCAACTTTTATAATCGGCGGTGGAAATTGTTTTTAGAGCCATCGTAGACTTTCCATACTCAAAGTATTTCCCAAATGAAGGTTCAAGGTGAGGCTTTACTTTTTCCCATAAAAGGGAAGCCCCATAAAATCTGCATCCATCCAATAGATAAGAGTGTAATGAAGGTGGATAACTTTCCTATTGATCATCTCGACCTCGAGATATACGATATAAATGTAAAAATTTTGAGTGATAAAACTAAATCATCTTATAACAACTTATCTGGACCATCTATTTTTAAGATTTTGAAGACTTTATAGATCAACTCAGTCTACACTGTTTTTTAATTTATAAATATCATAATTAAAGTTGAATATGAATTTTCAAACCACCATAAAAAAATTTAACACCAAAACTAGGCAAAATTTAGAGGTGTGTTTTACTTATATAATATAAAATGAGCACCATATACAAAGGTCACTCGTATCTGAATCTGCAAGAACATCACCCGTTAAGACATAATTTTACTCTTCAAACAAATACGCACTTTAACTACTTATATTTGGAATTCTAAATCTGGGTGTAGTGTAATCTCACACTAAGTTTTTTACCTTGGAAGGCCCTTATGAGATTTTATTTTTCCTAAAATGTTGCTTGTAAACACCAATTGCATGTTTAAAAATTGGACGGTTGAGATGAACTAGGGTGATGATGAATTTTAGTAGAAGAATAAGTTATCTCCTTCCATTTTTTAGCACGTAGTTGAGATTGTGTAATTCATTATTTCATTGTATGGTATACATTTCCTATTGGTATCGTATTAGGGAAATCCTATCATATTAAGGTATGTGTTATGATCTAATTTTACAAAAGTTTCATATTTCCTGACATGTGATATTATGGAGCATGTACGTAAACATTATACTTTGGCTAATGGAAATCTTAGGCACCTATACCCTAAACCTCAAGATCCATGCCTAATCACCTTCCCTAACCTACCCAAAATCCAAAACCTTGAGATTTGAATGTTAAAAATAACAAAAAATCCAAAACCTTGAGATTTGAATGTTAAAAATAACAAAAAATAGATAAAAAACAAAAAAAACAAAAACAAAAACAAGGGCAAGCTTTTTATGCTCCCCCTAAAGCATATAAGGTCTATCATCTCCCTACCATCCAGCCGTCCAATTTTGATCAAAAGAACCACTCACCGTTTGATCTTAGATCCCACGTCTCAAAATATTTTATTTTTCTTTTTTTTAATACAAATTGCATGAATATGAAACTTGGTACATGTCATTTTTTCATTGGGGCGCACCTATAAAAAATATTAAAAATAATTTTTCGATAAAATATAACTATCAAAATACCCCTTTAAACTTTTAGGGGTATTTTGATCATTTTATTTTATTGAAAAAAATAATAATATTTTTCCTAGTGCAAGTCTAATAGATGAATGGATGTCTAAAATTTGGTGTCAAAACAGTTTATAGAAAAAAATTGAAAATAAAATAGTGTAGAGACGTGACGTTGTGATTGGGGCAATCTTAACTGTCCTTTCAAAATGGACGGTTGGATAAGGGGGAAGATAAACCTTCTATGTTGTGGAGGAAATATAGAAACCTTTCCCAAAAAACAAAACCCCTTGTGGATAACGTCGCAACCAACCCTAAAACTGACCCTTTAGAGTCTCTAGAACCACGTTGAGTCTCCTATTATCTGATGGCGATGATCAATTCTCACTCCTCGAAGGGACTGGTGCATATCAAATATTGCAGCTATTGCATTTTACTGCAACCAAATCAAAATAGAATGGGACATCCAAAAGCAAACAATAAAACCAAAGTTAAACAAATAAATAAAGAAAAACGATATCTATAAAAGTTCAAAATTGTTAACATTGAATTAGAAGCTTCCATCAATAGAGCACAAGCATTATTATCAGCATTCAAGAACCTCGTCTCGAGCATCAATCATACTTACAATTGAAGATATGGTTAAAAATAAATCTATTGACATAGAATCAAAGCTTATTTTCCGATGTCCAAAATTTGAGCATTACTATCTTACATCAAGCTCGAGGCTCAAAAACTTATGGATTAATAATAGAGAGCTATACCAGATTTATTGAACATAGTCAGTATTCATGAACGTCGATTTTTTTGCGAAAACACTTAAGTTAACCACAAAATGAGAAAAATTCATAGACAAGATAGAGTTCCAACAGATAACACTAAAATACAATATCCACACAATCAGCATTTTTTGTATCAAGAGCTTGTAGATATAATTTATTGTTTTTTTTTAAAACAGCTCAAATAACATTATGGAATCAATCCCACGTAGAGATATCACTTTGAGCGTCAATCCCACATAGGAAAATAACAAGCAACTAGAACCACTCACCATTTTTGTTATGTCACAAGATTTCTGTTAGTCAGACAAAATTTTGTGCTAATATTAATATGTTGGACATCAGTTCCTTGAGTAAAAGTCAAGTAGCTCTGGGTCGACAATATAGAACAATGTTCAATAACTCCGCTTGGGCTATGGACTTCGCCATGTCCTTCCTAAGTTGTATTTATTGTAGGAAGGCATTATATGTGCCCCACCTATATATAAAGTATATGCGGCCATTGGTTTCAGGCTCTCAACTGTTAGATCTGAGTAGATGGCTGGAATGATTTGAGTGATAACGTCACAAGTTGACTTTTGATATCAAATTTTGATCCGATCGCTCGGAGTATATATATTTTAATCTCTATTTATAAATCGTTTTGTATTGGAGCACACGTACATTTAACAGGGCCCCACATGATGAAAGTAATAAAAATATTTTTTTATGATGGAAAATAACTAGAATACCCCTATTACTTTTAGGGGAATTTTGGTCATTTATTCTCATGATGATTTTTTTTTCTATATGTGCCCCGATAGAAGATGGGATGCCCCAATTTTCACTAAAAAAAATGTTTCATTGAAAATAAATAAAAACCAAACAATCTATTGGTGTCACATTGTGACGAACAATTTTAGCCATCTATTCAGATCAAACAACTTAAAAGTGAGATAACATATAATTTAGGGAAAATTATAAAAATCCCACGACTACACTTTCTATGCAACTTACCCCCAACCAACTTTTTGTCTCACTTTTTTCCCCAAAATACACTTTCTATGCAAATACTCCCAACCAAATAAAAGAAACAAATAAATAAACTAAACTACCCTCCCTTACTTTTACCTTACCCATGCCTTGCTTTCCTCCATCCCACCAAAATAAGGGCTCTGACACTGTGTAAGTGCAGTTCGGCAATAGAGCTCCGACATTATGTAAAGTGCGATCCGAAGGCAGGGCTCCAACATTGTGTGAAGTACGGCAAAGGACAGTTCGACAGTTGCAAAGGGCGGTCCGACAGTTGCAAGGGGTGGTCCGGCAGTAGATGTTACTGGATTCCAAGGCTCTGGCACTATGTAAGGGGCGGTTCGGCAGTACGGCTCCAGCACTATGTAAAGTACAGCTCGGCAATTGCAAAGGGCGGTTCGACAATAAACGTTACTAGATTCCAGAGCTTTGGCACCTATGTAAAGGGTGGTTCGGGAGTACTTAGTTTCGATCCGGTAGTTGTTTTAGGGCGGTCTGGCACTTGGACGGTCTACCACTTGTGCGCTCCGACAATGTGATGTTGCACTCCAGCAATGTGCTACTGGGTCGAAAAGTCAACATCAGATGTGGACAACATGATTTTTGTGTACAGGAAGGGGCATTATGTTCTAAAAAAAAATGAATTTTTTCCCTTGGAGGTATTTGCATAAATTGCATAGAAAGTGTGGTCTTGGGGCTTTTTTGTAATTTTCTCTACAGTTTATATGTGGCCAAGGTCATAAAAAACTTGCCAATTTATTATTGGGGTGCGGATTGCATATAATGCCAACCTTAAATAGTCAAAGTAAGGCATTCTTATAAACCACTTTTCCAGTTCCATTGTTGCGAACCCCGTGATGGTTGTGAGAGCATGGTTCAAATCCCACGTCTAACACTTGAAATAGAGTTTGGGAAGGGGTTGGGGTTGTGGTAGTAGTACCCCACACCATAGTCACTGTATTGTAGTTTTTATTCTCACCACTAATACCAACACTTGAAATAGAGTTTGGGAAAGGGGTTACGGTTGTGGTAGTAGTACCCCACACCATAGTCACTGTATTGTAGTTTTTATTCTCACCACTAATACCAACACACTAATACCTTAAAAATCAAACTCCTAATCTACTTGAAAAAATGGGTAGGAGCATGTTTTTCCCACCAAATTACCTAAAAAAAGAGAAAAAAGGAACCCCTATGATGGCCTGAAAGCTCAAACTATATTATGGTTCGAACAAATCTATAGAAACTTAAAAATATAACAAATGAATAGTCTAGATAAGATATGACAATATACACTATTTTTAGGACTCGAAAACATGTATTCTTGTACCAATACATTTCGAAGTCGAGATGAATAGATGGAATTTTTCTCTATCAAAACAACTCTTTTGGGTAGGTATTTAGTTCGATGTACTTCGATAGTATTGTACTAATCAGATTTGTAATTTTCACAATTATTCGGTAGTATTTTAATTATTGTAATTACTGTACTAATCAGATTTATCTAAAATTTGGGATGCATGTACATTTGACCAAGTTACACCAAAATAAAACATTAAAAAAATGACAGTCATAAAATAAAATGACGACATTACCCTTGAAACTTTGTAGGGGTATTTTATGTAATTTTTATTATTCAAATTATTTGTTTTATATTTTACTCATGTGCATCTCACTAAGGCGCACACACTTACAAATTTTCAGATCATTATGATTTGTAAAAAAAACATTAAAATTCAAACACTAGCAAACATATGTGACCGTGTGATAAGCTTTGAACAGTGATAAAGCGATAGGTGAAGTACTGTAGAACTTCACCAATACGTGTTTTGTAGTGTTTTTCATATATATGTATATATACGAGTAATGATCTTATGAGCCCCTCCCACACCCATGTGTGTAGG